TGCCAGGCCAGTAGGTGGTGCTGTTCTCACAGAATCAGCCCTTGCAGGGGTAAAAAAGTGCAAATTGAGCAAAATGAGGCATGGCTAAAATGCATGATCTGTTTGGTATTTTGAAAAAAAAAAAGTATAAATATGCCTTATATAGGTATGGTCCTACACTATATTATTATAATATAGCATGATAGATCCACTTTAAGTTAAAGTTGTATCTACCCCAGCAGTAGTTGAGTGAAGGTCATTAGCTGTCAGTCTTGTTTTGTCCCTATTTCCCTACGGTTTAATTGCACCTAATCTCTAAGTGAAATGGTCTGAGGCATTCTACAAACCACACACACACTCGCACTTGCACTCTCTCACACACACACACACACACACACACACACACACACACACACACACACACACACACACACACACACACACACACACACACACACACACACACACACATCTTAACCTTGCATTCCTGGGCTTAACAGTCTCTGAGTACAGATGACGTGCAGTTGTGGAGGAGAGACCTTCACCCTTAAAGACTTTATTTTTAGAGCCCACGGAGATGTTTGCTAAATGGAGGTGGGAGCTAGGTTAGGGGGAAGATTTAGTGTGATAAGTGCCTAAAAAACTATGTATGGTAAATGCTCCTCTGTTCATTGCACACATAGCCAGGCAGGAGGAAAGATACTTGCTTATCTTACAGGAACACCAATATTTTTATTAAAATAATAATACACGTGTTATAATTAATAAAGGCAGGTTGCATTGGTTCTTATTACTAAAGTTTATTTAATTATTTTGGTTATCAATCTTTCTCATGCGTCGGGAAGCATTACCCCACTTTGTACTGAGTGTACACTTTGACCTTAATGGTAATGGTGCACATGCATAAAGTAATGAAAACAAGATAAATGCCTCAATCAAATAAATAATGTATTACTAATACACAACTGTGGAAGACGTCCTGTGTGGTACCTGTGCCAAAGACCCCTCACCCCAAGGACTTCAACAGCTACCGGCCGGTGGCGCCGACATCACAGCTGATGAAGACCCTGGAGAGGCTGGTCCTTGGACACCTTCGGCTCCTTGTGAGACCATCAATGGACCCGCTGCAGTTCGCCTACCAGCCTGCCATCGGGGTGGATGACGCCATCATCTACCTGCTGCAGAGGTCCCTCTCCCACCTGGAGAAGGCTGGGGGCTCTGTGAGGATCATGTTCTTTGATTTCTCCTGTGCCTTCAACACCATCCAGCCCCCGCTCCTGGGAGACAAGCTGCAGCTCTCGGGGGTGGATCACCACCTCACCTCCTGGATCCTGGACTACCTCACCAACCGTCCACAGTACGTGAGGACCAGGTAGTGTCAATCATGCCCCTTTCACACCAACGCGGTTCCCGTTCTAGCTCCGTGCTAGTGCTCTTCTGGTTCGGAACCGGTTTTGCTTTTCAGCCTGCGTTTTGTTCACACCGCCCAGAGCCCGACTGGTGCTGCCGCTGCTGCGTCATGACGTCACCAATTACGTCGCTGATTTTCTCCCCAACGGCGTCGGGTCGATGATCGTGTTGCTTTTTAATCCTACGAAGCCAGATTAAATTAAATAACTACTTCTCCACCCTTATACTTTTCTCCAGAGTGCCGTGGTTCATTGTTTATTAATGTGTTTCAGCGGCATTTACCGACCGCTGCAGTGCTGCCCGCTGCAGAGCTGCCCGCTGCAGAGCTGCTCGCTGTTTGGCATCACAACGTTGTTATGAAAGTTTCTCTGGTATAAAATGGGCAGAGGTGGGAGTAAGTCCTACATGTGCAAGTCATGAGCAAGTCTCAAGTCTTGACCTACAAGTATCAAGCAAGTCCCAAGTCACTGTGGTGAGAGTCAAGCAAGTCAAGTCAAGTCATTGCTCAGGTCAAGTCAAGTCAAGTCATACGAAATTCTGATGAATAAGCCCAGTTTCCGCATTTAAATCAGTTAAAAGACAGTGGTTATGAAAATGGATTTAACCCACACTATGATCTTCATTACATACACAGTTAATCATTTGAAATCTAATTTAGACCGATGACAATCATATTAGATTAATATTAACCCTAGAACTGCAGACAATATAGCTAGGATTTAAAACTCAGTTCATTGGGTTAATTTTTGAAATTGCTTCAGTTTATCATAACAGATCAAAAAGTTCAGATTCATTTTACAATAAATCAAGGAGTGATGCACTTCTACAAACAAAAACAACATAATTAAAACATTTAAACAAACTACTAAAAGTAGATGAACTACATTATTCAAAAGTTTACAGTAACTTCTGATAATAACACAGGGGAAATAAACGAGGCATCTCTTTTCCTCTCTCTCTCTCCCTCTCCTGACAGCCCGTCAGTATCAGGGTTAGTACAAATGAATCCCTTGGCGTGTTCATTTACCGTTTTGTCTTCTCTTTGTAATGCTTAATCGATTTGAAACCAAGTCTAACGTAGCTTAAACTTAACGTTAGCTTTCTAGCTAACACAACACATTCACGCACCTTTCTCTGAGGTTTTTTTTGTAGTGACGAATGAAGTTGGATGTTGTGGTGGTCGTGTCACTGATCTTTATGCTGCAGACCCTGCATACCGCTGTTCTCTTCTTATTAGCGTCATCGACAACATAATCCTTGAATCCAAACTTGACTATTTGTGGAGTAACGCTAGCCACTGCCATGTTAACTGACACTCCTGCCGTCTAGTGGGTTGCCAGGTTTGCGCGCACGGCGCTATAATCACCCAATCACATTTTTCGAAAAAACTAAACGTAATATCTCACTACAAAAACAAACGCAAATATTTAATTTTAAACAGTCAAGTCCTTTCAAGTCATCTGTCTCAAGCTTAAGTCAAGTCTCAAGTCATGAATACCAAGTCAAAGTCAAGTCAAGTCTTTTATCAATGTTAGTCAAGCAAGTCTCAAGTCCAAAAATATGCGACTCGAGTCTGACTCGAGTCAAGTCATGTGACTCGAGTCCCCACCTCTGAAAATGGGTGATGTTAGCATAGCAACCGAAGCTAAACTGACTATCTTGACTACTTGTTGCTATCCTATTGTGGCATAAGCCGTTTTCTACAGGCACATTTTACCGGCGTATTTTTCATTATGATTCTACTTGTGATAGTCGGACATGACAACCTGTGCAGCCCATGTATTGATTCCATCCGATAGCTGCTATAATACAAAACAAAACGTCTGCCTGCTCTCCACAATGACAGCGCACGGATGGTCAAAGTAAGGTACAAACAAGTGTGTGGTTGCGTTCTAGTCACTTTGGTCAGCGCTACTGCTTGTTACAACCCGGTTACAACTTTCATTTGCCGTACTCGCCATAAACTGTTATTGCTCAGGTTGATCCCGCCCCTGCCCCCGCCTCCGACGCAAGCGTGACATATGCGGTTCTTGCTTCTAGACCGACCATTTTTTGGTGCTTGGTAAGCACCGGTTTTTGGTGCTTAGAGCCGGCTCCGCTGCGGTGTGAACAGGAAAAAACGGTGCTTATCAGGCTCTAGCTCCGAACCGGCCCTGGAACTGCGTTGGTGTGAAAGGGGCATCAGAAACCATCATCAGCAGTACGGAGGCCCCCCAGGGGACGGTGCTGGCACCGTTTCTCTTCACCCTCTACACTGCAGACTTCACCCACAACACTGCAAACTGTCACATGCAGAAGTTCTCTGATGACTCCTCCATTGTTGGCCTCATCTCCAACAAGGACGACAGGGAGTACAGGGACCTGACGCAGGACTTCACCCTCTGGTGCCAGAGGAACCACCTCCAGCTCAACGCAGGGAAGACCAAGGAGCTGGTGGTGGATTTCAGACGGCGCCAACACTCCCCCGACACCAGTGAACATCCAGTGGGCGGACATTGACATTGTGAAATCTTACAAATACCTGGGCGTTCATCTGAACAATAAACTGGACTGGACTGATAATTCTGCTGCTCTGTACAAGAAGGGACAGAGCATACTCTTTCTGCTGAGGAGACTGAGGTCTTTCGGGGTGCAGGGGAGACTCCTTCAGACATTTTATCACTCTGTTGTGGCATCAGCCATTTTCTATGGTGTGGCCTGCTGGGGCAGCAGCATCTCGGCGACTGACAGGAAGAGACTGAACAGACTGGTAAAGAAGGCCAGCTCTGTCCTGGGGAGTCCTCTGGACACTGGTGGTGGGAGACAGGAGAATGGCAGCCAAGCTGTCCTCCCTGCTGGACAATGTGTCCCATCCCCTCCAGGACACCCTGTCCTCACTGTGCAGCTCCTTCAGCGATAGGCTGCTGCACCCCCGCTGTCTCACGGAGAGATACCGCAGGTCCTTCCTTCCTGCAGCGGTCAGACTATACAACCAGCACAGCACCTAGTAGACCCCCACACACACACAACACAACACAGACTATAACACCCCTTGCTGTTAAATACCAACCAACTATGTGCTATATGTGCTATATGTGCAATATATAATATATGTCGTTAATAACTGTGTAATATATACCTGGCTACTAAATCCTTAGAACTGTTACAAGATGTGTATTATGTAAATTGTGTAACTTGCTGCTGTTAAATACCATCCAACTATGTGCAATATGTACTATATATGCAATATATATATATATGCTGTTAAAACTGTGCTATATATACCTGGCTGCTAAATCCTAAGAACTGTTACAGGATGTGTATTTAGAAAATTATGTAACTTTTTATTTATTTATTTTTTATTATATTTTTTATATTTTTTATTATATCATAACTTAGTACTTTTGAATGCATGTAACATATGTAACATGTGTAACATTAAGCTGTCTGTGGCTCTTTTTTCTGCTGTAACTACGTACATTTCCCCTCTGTGGGACTAATAAAGGTATTCTGATTCTGTACGGCTACACTAAAGTTAAATAAAAAAATATTTGTATCTTGTTATAATATAAAAAAGAGCACTGAAGAACTGTTTCACCCTGTGTTCACTTCACCTATCCTCTTTTCATCAGGATGACCACGAGAGTGGATCTAGCTCCACCAGTCGCAGTGTCTCAGACACCTCCAAGGCTGTGGCCAAGCCCCGCCGCCTTCAGCAGGCGGCCCCCAGCGACCCCGACCTGCCCCCAGGTGAGTGATGGCCCTGGGACCAGTGAAATTATTCCACCTCCCTGGGCAGGGAGGCAGCTCCCTTATAAATTGTGTTTTTTCTTTTAACCTCTAGGAATGCCAAACAAGTCATTTAAATCTATTGGCTTGTTGTAGTTCAATCCCTGAAGAGGCCAGTTTTACCAATGAGGTAGTACCTGTTTACACTGTAAGAATGCATTTAGGAGGAGCTGTGTAGCACTGCTATTTCAACTAGTAAATCAGCCAGAAAGAGTGTGGGGGATGTCTCTGTAATAAATCACTCAGTGATAGCTCTTATCAACAAGGCCACTTGACCACATGCCTCCTACAGGGCCATGGATTCCTTGCCTGCCCTTTTCTACCACTTCACAGCACCTCAGAGACAATGGCCTTGTTTGTTTCGGGCTGGATAATGGCCTTCAAAAATATTTATGACTATTGGGTATTTTTTCATCATGTAAGTCTGTCGACAGATTTTGCCTAAATAGCGTCACAAACCGTGCAAGATGCAGTTACAAAACGTTAAAGATGTCTATTTTTAGATCAAAATAAAGGTAAAGTTTGAATATTTGTTAAAGTGTGAATAGATGCACAATGTCAGCCATTTAATTCAACTACTTAACAAACCTGTTGGGGGGTAAATAGGAACAAATAAAAGTTCCAAAGGCAGGGAAAAGGGTTTGAGAGAAAACTGCTAAGGTGAGAAAGTAGTTGGCAAAGGAGAGACTTAAATATGAAGAAATGGGTTTAAAAGAGAAAAAAAGAAGAAAAAAGTAAGGAGAAAGAAGGGGGTCTTGAGCTTTAAGAGCTAGGTCACCGTCAACAGTGAGGTTCACTCCAAGAGCCCTAGTATGCGTGAATATATGAACCTACACGCCCGGCTGCCTGTATCAGGGGAGGATCCATTTTCAGGCTGATGTTATGAGATATTATCTTTCCACAGCTGTTAAAGCAGGGTGCCTTAAATACATCCCCCCCCAGGGTGTGTGTGTGTGTGTGTGTGTGTGTGTGTGTGTGTGTGTGTGTGTGTGTGTGTGTGTGTGTGTGTGTGTGTGTGTGTGTGTGTGTGTGTGTGTGTGTGTGTGTGTGTGTGTGTGTGTGTGTGTGTGTGTGTGTGTGTGTGTGTGTGTGTGTGTGTGTGTGTGTGTGTGGTGTGTGTGTGTGTGTGTGTGTGTGTGTGTGTGTGTGTGTGTGTGTGTGTGTGTGTGTGTGTGTGTGTGTGTGTGTGGAAATTAGCTAATCAGATTTGGCCACTTTGTGATGTCACAACTGTTTTTTTGGTTGGGCAACGATTAGCCACAAACCAACCAAGGTAACCCCCGCCGGATCAAAGTCAACTTTTATAATGTGTTTTTTTAATTTCCTTAAATGAATTGTTTTTGAGAAGTCCCTGCACATCTTTACACTGGGAAGAGCGGGGGCGCGCGTTACGTGAACTCGCCTCGCAGGTGCACACGCCTGGGGCAGAGTACATCTAGACTCGAGAGAAAACTTGATAGAGACCGACTCGAGTCCGAGTCCAGTATTCCAAGTCTGCTAAGTGTAAACTGTGTAGCTTTATTATGTTAAAAACGAATTAACAGTTGGTTTGGAATTGCCATTGGAAAAAAATGAGATGAGACCATCTCAGGGCAATGCCCCGTCTTCCTTCTTCGTCAGCATCTACGTCGACAAACCTCTGTGTTGCGTCTGCTCCCCTCCCCTTCAAAACAACCAAAACAAAACACGGGCGACACTAAAAAGCAACCACCAGCAATTATCCAGTCATTTGGCCCTAAGCTCTCACATGCTGAATTAATTTATCCTCCCTGTTCTCCATGTGGTGGAAAATAGTGATGTTAATTCATATGCCATGGGGTTGGTAGTCACACAAAGACCAAACACCAAGTGCTTCCACCTTAGGGGACTCTGTGAGTGATTATGGTTACTGCTGCTTGTGGGGGACCAGCGGCCACTGTTTGTGAGAACCGCATTTCTCCGTTTCGGGGGATTCCTGCAATGGTCATATTCACTCTGAAGAAAATGTGTTCTGTTTTATATTGGTTCAAAGAGGTTTATTGGTGGCACGTCTCACTTTGAGTCTAGTTTTAGCCTGCTACCTACTGGATCAAAGTTATGTTCGAGATCAGCAGTTGTAAAACTGAACTCTCTTGAAGAGCCCCAAAGTGTTTCATTTACTAAGTAGTGTCTTAACAGTGTGCCCAAATGCTTTCTTGACAAACTAGGTATTTTATTATAACATTATATCACCCGCAACATCATATTATTGTGTGACTTCTTCAATACAGTACTACACTTCTACTTATTTTCCAATTTCAAGTCCCAACCATTCTCATTTTGATAAATATTAATAATATTGCTCAGACCAAATTTAGATTTTATTTTGGTTTCTTAACTAAATCAGGGGAAGGTAGTATTCCTGTCCTGCCAAAAAAAGCACAGAATGCACTTACACAGGCTTATTTCATTGCTCATATTGTGTGTTAAATCCATGTGTATGTATGGTTGCGTGAATGCATGCACCTAAATGTATTTATTTGTTAAAGAGTTGTGCATGCATGCATGGTTGTGTAAGTATGCGTGTGATTGGAGGAGATTGAGATTTGCATGGACTTAAATGCAAACACACTCCTGAGACAAATCCATGGTCCAGTGCTACTGTTGTCCTGGTACTGGGGCCTTTGCTCAGAAACTAAATACAGCAGCTGTTCTGGTATTACTGGAAAATGCTACTTAAAGAGAATATCCCATACTAGTAAAGACTGGAGCTTTCTCCAGTGTGAGCTTTGTCCTGTTCTGGAAACCTGCTGTACCATGCATGGTTTGGTTCTGTGAATCTACAGTTTTACTACAAGAGGCCCCAGAGCTAGTAGAATGACTAACATAATCAGGTGGTGATAGTTACCATTAATAACACAGCCTTGCAGTGTTTCCATGGTTCCACAGGAAACTTGCCATGGTGGAATTTAGACCTTAGTCCCACTTTGTTCCCTTTCCTTATATTTTTTAGGAAATGAATTAGGGCAGGGATTTATAGAATTGTGTGAACTGCTATGTCCCACAGTAGCTGCTATATGTATTTGCTCGAATACATAGCTAACTGTCTAAATTATATTTCAGAATAACAAGCAAGCAAGTTGCCCTTACAGTCATTTTTTTGTGTGAAACTTTTCAATCTTTCGCTCGACAGCTACTTATTCTTTTCATATACAGGAAAACTGGTGATCAAGGACAGTATAGTATTTATTTATTTCCACATAAAGAAGCTGGGTTTTCCAGTCATTTTATGGTTGAACAGGTTTAAGTGGGCTTCTTCCCTGTGGGCCGCAACACAGGTGCTGGCTGTGTCAATTGTTTACAGAAGTTCTAGCAGCGCGATGGCTTGCAGAGAGAAGAATTGTGGCCCTGGACTTAGTGCGAGGCAAGAAGAGATATAGCTAGTGTAAGAGAGTGCAAGAGAGACACTCTTTCTAAATAAGAAACAAAGAGTGAAATAGCAGGAGGTAAAGTGATGGCTTGCCAGGCTGCAGGTGTCACACACACACACACACACACACACACACACACACACACACACACACACACACACACACACACACACACACACACACACACACACACACACAGTGACATTCGGCCAGGTCGATATATACTCAAAGTCAGACACACATTTAGTTTATGAGTTGTGTTTATATTATGCCATCTTCTCTTCCTGCAACTCTGTTTGGTGAGGCGGCAACCTCATGAGAATTGTGTCATTTGGATTATGCTAATGCATGTAAGGTGTGTACAAGTGGCAGAACAGTTAACCAAGTCATGGAAATATTTTCGTTTACAGCACCACTTGGCCTAATTATCCGTTCTGTTATGTCCTGAGCCAGACATGAGGATCCAGGAAGACAAACATTTGGTTTGGAAAATAAGGGAAAAGTATAAAGGTTTATATGTTTAACTTGTAATTCTTTGTTTAACAGTAAATGGAAGGAATTAATAATGCCATTGGTTAGGAGGATTTATTACTGTATACTTTCATATTTTATGGTTGAAAGTCCCCTGTCTGTAATATTTTAAGTTCTTTCTTACTTCGTTGAGCAATGACCTTAGCATGTATGTTTTTCCTACAAAGCTTCTGTTTCTGGGTGTCATTGTGGCCATAATGAGGTACTGGTAACACTGCAGGATGTAACACTGCAGGATGGCTCCCCCAGCTCTGCTGAAACCCAATCTATCGCAGTGCTCTTTTTCTCCTGCTTGTGCTTGGTTGCTAAGCCCCTTCGCCTCCTCACCACAAAACCACCGACCCCCATCTTTCACCCTCTATTTCTATATTCCTGTTTCTTTCCATTCGTACAAAGTTCATAACTCTAGCCCTTGCTCTCCATCACCACAATATATAAAGGTTCCTGTTTTATTTTATTTAAATCCTGTAATGCATTACATTTTTAAAGTAAGTGATGAAATAAACTGTCAAGCCTTCACACTATAAAATGAATGTGTATTGAGTGTTTTCTCACAGGAAGCCAATTTGGTGTTTTTATTATCATTATTGGCAGAAATTGTCTTTAATATAGTTTAATTGTGTGCTCCAGCCATAGACTGGTCGGCCACACGAGGCCGACAGGGAAACGCAGATAACGATAACAATAACGGGTCCCAAGGTGGGTAGATCTGCGGACGAAACGCTCTGGGGGGCCAAACCCCACCTGCATTGCTGATGTGTTTCGCCAACAACAACAACAGTTTTCCGAGTGTTTCGAGCCAGGTCCCGGTATCTCGCAGGACAGTGCACCCAGCAGGTGCCTCCAGCAGACCCCCCCGCACGGCAGAGTTTCCGTTAGCCGAAATCTAAAATGTTCCGGTCAAAATGTTGCTTATTGTTTAGGTGTCCTTTGACACTCAGGCCAGTAACTAGAACTAGCTAGATCTGATCGATATGGACATCAACGCGAGTGAAGTCTAATCGGACAGGAGAGAGAGATCAGAGATCAGCTGCTGCTGACGGAGAAAAAGAGCCCTGCCTCTCCCCACCTCTGCTGCTAAATCCACCGCGGAGAATAAACAGAAGGGCAACCATGGAAACCATGCTCAGAAGTCTTCTTCGCTGCTTTTGGTGTATTTTGTGGCGGAAGTACAGCGCCACTTACAGGCCCGGCATATGTACTACGGCACTCAACAAGGCATCCCTGGCCGTGTTCTCAGGTGTGTGCAGTTCAGCTGGCAGAGGTGTTCACAGACATCTTCAACTGGTCCCTGCTGCAGTCTGTAGTCCCCACATGTCTTAAACACTCCACCATCGTTTCTGTGCCCAAATAGTCAAAAATCATCAGCCTCAACGACTACCACCCAGTAGCACTCACCTCCATCATCATGAAGTGCTTTGAGCGGTTAGTCAAAACATTCATCACCTCCTCCCTCCCTGACTCTCTGGACCCCCTGCAGTTTGCCTACAGAGCAAACAGGTCCACAAACGACGCCATAGCCCCCCCCACCCCCCCCCTCCACACTGCCCTCTCACACCTGGACCAGAGGAACACATATGTGAGAATGCTGTTCATTGATTACAGTTCAGCTTTCAACACCATTGTGCCCTCCAAGCTGGTCATCAAGCTCAGAGACCTCAGGCTCAACAGCGCCCTCTGTGATTCCTGACGGGCAGACCCCAGGCAGTGCGGGTGTGAAACATCACATCCGCCACCCACCGGAGCCCCTCAAGGCTGCGTGCTCAGCCCTCTCCTCTACTCCCTGTTCACACACGACTGCGTGGCCACACACAGCTCCAACACCATCGTGAAGTTTGCTGATGACACGACCGTCATCGGTCTGATCACTGATGGCGACGAGACGGCGTACAGAGAGGAGGTCGAAAACCTGACATCTTGGTGCCAGGATAACAACCTACATCTCAATGTCAGCGAAACCAAGAAACGCCATCAATGGGACTACGGTGGAGAGAGTCAGCAGCTTCAGGTTCCTCGGTGTCCACATCACTGAGGACCTGACATGGACTCATCACACTGGTGTCATCACCAAAACAGCTCGACAGCGGCTCTTCTTCCTCCGCAGGCTGAGGAGGTTCAACATGGACTCCAGGATACTCTGCAACTTCTACAGGTGCACCATAGAGAGTATCCTGCCTGGCTGCATCACGGCCTGGTACGGCAGTTGCAACGCCCTCAACCGTAAGACCTTACAGAGGGTGGTGAAAACTGCACAGCACATCACCAGGACGGAGCTGCCATTCATGGAGGATCTTTACTCCCAGCGGCTCAAGAAGAAAGCCCTAAGGATTACAAAAGACCCCCATCACCCCAGCCACAAACTGTTCTGTCTGCTGCCGTCTGGCAGGCGTTACCGCAGCATGAGGTCTAAAACCACCAGACTCAGGGACAGTTTCATCCCACAGGCTATAAGAATGTTAAACACCTGAACTTTTGAAAGAACATACATAACATTCATCTGTTTGCAACTCATATATATCAATATTCCAATTACTGTATATAGACTATTCTGCACAATTTCTATTATATTCTGTTTCTATTATATTCAATTTTATTTTATTTACTCATACTATTTTATCTGTTTTATTGTGTTGCCTTTGACCTAAGATTGTCATTGTCATAACTACACTGTAGCTATGCACACATGCCAATAAAAGCCTTGAAACTTGAAATACGATATACTTTATTGTCCCTGTAAGAAAATTGGAAACTTGAGCAGGAGTCAGTTAAATTCAAAATGGCCGCTATGTTGTCATGTGTGTTTCTGTGTTTTCGCCCTTCGTTTTCCCGGTTTTGTGTGTGTTTGGCAGGGTTGTTACAATAGGGTCTTCGCCAACCTCTGGTCTCAGACCCCAATAACATGTATTATTATTGTTATTTACAAGTGAATGATGAAAGCAGGGGTCAGAAGTACATAGCTTTGACTTTTAGGGAATGCAGCTCTGGATTGATCTCTTTTATGCTATATTTCTACAATGTCTTCTTGTTTGTCAAAGTCAACTTTAATGTCAATTTTTCTGTGTGTTTGTACAGACAGAGAGATCGAAATAACGTTTCCAACAATCCGGAATACAAAATACAATAATACAAATATACAAATATAAATATGTATATCCTCTATATATACAATCAACAGACACATTTACACATAGGCACACATTAAGATAAAACACAACAATCAATACAAAATAACAAAATAACAGTAACTTCAATATGTTAGTGAATGTACATGTTTGCATATGTTTTCTATTTATAATTAGGCAGTGGCGAGCCGTGACTTTTATACCTAGGCCCTCTGACCACCCCCCCCTTCCCTCGAAAAAAAAAAAAAAATAGTTATTACGTCACAGCGTATACTTCAGCGGAATATCAAAACAACGGCCCGGGGTGCAAAACGCATCAATGACAGCGACCCTCTACCACACAAAACAACACCTGTATACAACCTGCCCATTGCCTGGAAAAGGTTAGATGCCGCCTATCACAGTGCTCTGAGATTTGTTACTAACTGTAAAGCACTTACTCATCACTGTACCCTGTATGCCAATGCAGGTCTGCCTTCACTTACTGTTCGGAGGCTCAGTCATTGGTACATATTCATATATAAAGCCATGCTGGGTAAACTACCGACTTATATCTGCTCTTTGATCTCACGGAGAGTGGCAAGTAGCTATTGCCTGAGATCCCAGGATGTGTTCTTATTACATGTGCCAAGTGCTAGGACTGTTTTAGGTACTAAAGCTTTTATGTGCGCAGCTCCTCTAGCTTGGAACACTATGCAAAAAACATTGAAACTGAGCATTTTGATTCCCTTGCATCATTTTAAAGCACGGCTGGATAAAATGTTATTGGATACCTGTCACTGTGAATAGGTTGCTAATTTATACCCCTGTAATTATGTTGTGATGTCCTTTTTGTTTTCTGTTGTTTTTATGTGTAACCAATGTACCGCAGGTCTCCCTTGAAAAGAGATCGTTGATCTCAATGGGATTTTTTAACCTGGTTAAATAAAGGCTACAAACAAACCCAATTTGTGTTCTTTGAAATTGAAAAGGATATTGCATTGTGTTTGTTACTTAAGTTGCAGTTGTATATATGTTTTAAGTGTAATTTGGCTAGGCTTCCTATTTTGTATGGACATGCTTTTAATTTGAAGGCGAGTTTACGCCGTTAACAGGAAGTTGTGGAAACAAGAAAAGCTTCACTGCGGGCGGAACTTGTCATAAAGTCCGCGATAATAAAACCCACCCATTTAGAGGGAAGATATGATTGGTCAATTGTACTGTCATTTGACATTACTCACTCGTTCAGTTACTATAGCTGGCCCTCTGTGAATTTACAGCAGGACCACCAATCAGCTCCTGTCTTCACCTCGCAGAGACGAGCTTCTTTCATTTAACCCTTCACATTCAAACAGAAACTGAATAGGCAGATTCGAAGGATTTATTTCTTTGGAAACGTTATTTTAAATACAATTAAATCAAGTTATTTTGGTAAAACTAATGAAAAATATTATATATATATATATATATATATATATATATATATATATGAAAATAAATATTTTTTTAAATATTATTTTGTAGAATATCTTAGGCCTAGAGGGCCCTGACGGCTCGCCACTGTAATTAAGTTTAAATCTTTTGCAGATTGAGATGTGTCTCATGTTTTGTTTATGTGTTCGCAGGTTACGTGCAGAGTCTGATCAGACGTGTTGTGAACAACGTGAACATTGTGGTGAACAACCTGATCCTTAAGTACGTTGAGGATGACATTGTGCTGTCGGTCAACATTACCTCAGCAGAGTGCTACACTGTGGACGATATATGGGAGAGGGCCTTCATGGACATTACTGGTGAGCAATGGCTACTAACATTTCTTGGATTAACTAGTACATCCACTGAGACAGGAACCTATTACATTAGAAAATGCATTTCCTGCAGAAAATGCGTGCGAATGCTGTAAACCGTGAACATTTGTGGCTGAATTGAGCTGAAAATGCAGAAAAAGCTGAATATGTTATTAGCTGAATGGTAGCTGCTTTTAGCTACAAAAATGCAGAAAAAGCTTAATATTTAAAAGAAAAGGTTTAAAAAAAGGTATAAACAACATGTATAGCCTTGATGTCCTGAAATAGCTGAATAATGTAATAGTTGAATGGTTTCTGCAGCTGAAAATAGGCTGAAGGAGTTAAATATCAGATGCAAGTAGTAGTGAATGAATTTGTATTAAGAAGAGAAAAGAAAGTAAAAATGCTTGGGAAAGCAGCAGAATATTTTGACTGCAAACTTTTCGACTAAAACCATACGTCACCAATAATGTATAAAATATGTGGAACCTGTTGAAGTCAGTATGAAGTCTCCATCAGACAGAAAAGAATAGGCTGAGACAGTCTGTTAAAGTCCAGTCTGTCAGTGTTTGTTTCTGTTCCTGAGCACCTACTCATAACACCCAATCATAACACCTGTGTGTGTGTCCAGAGATCAAAGGTTTCCATGGTGTCTGTTCTGATTAGATGATCTCACTCAGGTGTGTGTGTGGCTCCAATCTGCCCAGCAACACCATGACAACCAACTGCAGCACTGAGTCCCATAAGAATGCATTGAGGAGTATATCTGACAATTTTGCCACCTGTTCAAAAACTATGGCTCCTATACAAAAATGACCAGACCGTGAGCATCAGGGAACCCCAATGAACTGATATATGTTTTTTTTGGTTTTGTGTGTCAAATGTGAAGATGGGAGCAGTTTGTCTAAAGTTGACTTCTCTCTGTTCTGAAGAAAGTTCCGGTCAAATTTAACATGGGAGTCTATTGGGAGCTAGGTGGACTTTTTGTCACTCTGATCACTATTGGGCCAGAACGGTGTGTCCGTTTGATATGATGAAGGCAATTGAGCAGGCCAGACTAATAATGCTCCTGAAATCTTTTGAAATTATTTTAATAGATTGTATATTTTGGCTCTGAGAGCAGTTTTAAAATATTTTTTCCGAAGATTTTTAAGACCCTCTACACTCACATGCCCCTTTCACACCAACGCAACTCCGGTTCAAGCTCCGTGCTAGAGCTTTTCTGGTTCAGAACCGGTTCTTCGGTTTAGCGCCGGCTCTTTTCACACCGCTCAGAGCCCGACTGGTGCTGCCGCTGCTGCGTCATGACGTCACAGTTTACGTCGCTGAGTTTCTCCCCAACGCCGGAGCTCACCTCACAATAACAACGGGCCGGGGACTGCGTTGCTTTTAATCATACGAAGCCAGATTAAATTAAATAACGACTTCTCCAACCTTATACTTTTCTCCAGAGTGCCGTGGTTCATTGTTTATTAATGTGTTTCAGCGGCATTTACCGACCGCTGCAGTGCTGGCCGGCTGCTCTTCCACGAGTGTATTCTCCCGTTAGCTCCGGGTTAGCTCACACGGCTCTAAAGTATTCACTGTCTGACTGTCACACAAGCAGCTGATACATATCCCCAGTTCCCCTTAAGTGAATGTGTGTCAGTCTGAATTGACGCGGTTTGGTGTCAGTCTGAATTGACGCTGTTTGGCATCACAACGCTGTTATGAAAGTTTCTCTGGTATAACATGGGTGATGTTAGCATAGCAACCGAAGCTAAACTGACTACTTGCTAAGCAGTTTTCTACAGGCACTTTTTACCGACGTATTTTTCATTATGATTCTACTTGTGATAGTCGGACATGACAACCTGTGCAGCCCATGTATTGATTCCATCCGATAGCTGCTATAATAACAAACAAAACGTCTGCCTGCTCTCCACAATGATCAATAACAGCGAACGGATGGTCAAAGTAAGGTACAAATAAACAGAATCACACGAAGCCTGGTTAGTGTTGCCTGACTTTATAAAGTGTGTTTTTTTTAACAAGTGTGTGGTTGCGTTCTAGTCACTTTGCTCAGCACTACTGCTTGTTACAACTTTTATTTGCCGTACTCGCCTTAAGTGTTAGCTCAGGTTAATCTCGCCCCCCTCCGACGTAAGCGTGACGTATGCGGTTCTTGCTTCTAGACGGACAACTTTTTGGTGCTCGAAACGAACCGGATTCCGGAGCTATGACGCTGCTCCGCTGCGGTGTGAACAGGAAAACCCGGTGCTTTTCAAGCACCAGCACCGAACCGGCCCTGAAACACCGTTGGTGTGAAAGGGGTATAAGTGATGATGTCACGCACTCTAAAATCTAAAACAGCCTGTACATTTACCAAAACTTAAACGTTGATAAGTCAAAAACCGTAAAAGATATGAAGAATCGGAATAACAAGTTTTATAGCTGAAGGTCTTGTGATCATTTTAAAGTTGGAATGAAGGAAAAGAGGATTTGAAGGCATCTCCCATTGACTTCCATGTTAAAAAAAGAGTTTAAAAAGCTGAATATTTCAAAAAGTATAAAATATTTTTAAAAAGTTGAAGGTTTCCCATCGATTCCTGAACAGGCTGAATAGTTTAATATTTGAATGGTTTCTGTAGCTGAAAATAAGCTGAAGTTATGGAGAGCCAAACTATTGGTGAAATAAGGGGAAGAATAAAGAATTGAAGTACTATAGTGGAATGCTGTGGCACAGCATTCGCACTAATGATATGCAAAAAGAGCAAGAGCAGCATACACAAGTATTTACCACATGGCAGTACAATATAGCAGCAACGACATATCAAGTGCAAGAGAAGATACAAGAGCTACATAAAGTGCAAGAGGAGATTCCCCTGTATTAAAGTGCATTTAGCGGTTGTTTCTCAACCATTCTTTGAGTTGACCTTTAAAACTATTGAGTTTGGGACAATCCCGTATCTCAGTAGGGAGGCTATTCCACAATGAGCTGCCTTTAATGGAAAGTACATTTTGTCCAAAAGTGGTCCGTCTACGGTGGACTTCACAGTCTCCTCTGGTTTCTGACCCACAAAAAACACACTGGACGCTTCCAGTGTGTTTTTTGTGGATGAATTCCCCTAAGGGAGGGGGGGCCAGTCCATGTAAACATTTATAAACAAAGCACATACTTTTAAAAGACTTAAAATGGTCAAAGCTCAAGAAATGGTGTTTTTCAAGGATGGTACAGTGGTGGTATGAATATGGCTTTCTTTCAAACACCTTGATAGCTCTCTTGGACAGCTGTTCTATTGGTTTTCAGGTTTGTGGCACAAGCAAACAACCAGTTTGTGAAACAGTATTCAATGTGGGATAGAATCATACAGTGGAGGTATGGCTTTGCAGCACTGCCAGTTAAGAAAGGTCTAATTTGTTTAAAATGTTGCAAGTTGAATTTAATAGTATTGGATACTTTCTTAATATGTTTCTTAAAAGTCAAGTTCGAGTCCAATATGACTCCAAGATACTTGAACTTAGGTCCAATGCAGGGTGTGCTTCGACACAGAGTGCGCTTCGTCTTGCATTGATGACACTATTGTATACTCATGTGCTCCTTCTCTGGATATGGCCGTTTCCAATTTAAAATCAGATTTTATCACGCTGCAGCATGCGCTTCTTGATTCCAAACTGCTATTTGAACAGTAAGAAAACCAAAGCAATGCTTTTTGCTCCCAAGTCAGCGTTCTCTTGCCTCTCCATTGACACCCTTGATGGCGTCTCCGTTGAGTTTGTCGATACATACAAATATCTGGGCTTTTGGTTGGACAGTAATCTGAACTTTAAACATCACATTGAAGTTCTAACTAAGAAATTGAAATTCACTCTTGGCTTCCTTTACAGACTTAAATGTTGTTTTTCAACTTCATCCCGTAAAAGGTTGGTCTCTGGCTTATTCCTGTCCCAGCTGGACTACGGTGATACCATTTATAGATTTGCCTGTCCCACTGTTTTGGCCAAACTTGACCCACTCTACCATGCTGCACTGCGTTATATATCAAATGCACCCTATAGGACTCATCATTGCACACTGTATAGCCTAACTGGATTGGTCTCACTTACTATGCGTAGGATGCAGCACTGGTTTTTATTAATGTATAAAGCCATTTTAGGTAAGCTTCCACTGTATACATGTGCCAGATTTGCTCCAGTTTGTGACTCTTACAACCTCAGATCCAGTGCCTGGATACGGTTCCAGGTACCTGCTGTGCGTACTGAGGCTGGAAAAAGGAGTCTTTCTTATTATGGTCCTTGGTCTTGGAATGACCTTCAATCAAGCCTCAAACTGATGGCACTTGTCCCAATAGCCTGTTTTAAATGGAAGTTGTCTGAGGTCCTCACCACCAGCTGCTCTTGCAGTAATAAGTAGTGTACCTTTCTTACTGTCCCAAATGTGCACAATGTAGTGACTGCTTTTCATCTTTTTGTTTACTTAGTTGTGTTCTCTGTATTTTACATGTCTGTGTTACGTGTAATAATGTGTAACGTTGCTGTGTAACGTTTCTTGGCCAGGTCAGCATTGTAAATGAGATTTTATCTCAATGCTTTTTATCTGGTTAAATAAAGGTTAAATAAAAAATAAAATAAAAATTCAAAAACACAACAGGTGAATGAACTGGACAGTGACTGATCCTCAGTAGAGTAGTAGTCTAATGGATGTGTCCAACTAAGGGAGCCCTATTCCAAAATGTCCAGTAAAGCAAGTAGTGGTTACAACAGTAGTTACTGGCACGGCTAAGAAAAATAACATATTCAGGGAATTATGAATCCTGTTATTAGTCTGTCAAGGGCGAGTGAGTCATAGTCAACACACACACACGCACCCACGCACGCACGCGCACACACACACACACACACACACACACACACACACACACACACACACACACACACACACACGCACACACAATGATTGACTGTTAGAGCCTGCTCTCTGTTAGTGTGTGTATGCTTGTATTGTTTTTGGTTTAATGCTACCTCTTTAAAGCCTGCATTTCTTTGTGTGAATACATGTCTAATACACATGTTGGATGAGTGTCAAGTGAAATGGGTCAAATATGTTCAATGCAAAAATGTATCTACATTCATTTTCTTTTCTTTTTTATCAATGAAGCTCCAGAGCTGGTCTTAAGGAAAGTCATCAACTTTGCTGACTGTACAGTGTGCTTGGACAAGCGGAATGCTAGTGGCAAGATCGACTTTTACCAGGACCCGCTGCTGTACAAATGCTCCTTCAGAACCCGTCTTCATTTTACCTACGAAAACATCAATTCCAAGATCCCATCAGTCATCAAAGTGAGCAACTTGAAAAGTTGGCAATACCTTGTTAATACTAATTTTCCTCTCAAAACACAAAAGATTGAGGATGTATTCTCTAGGTTAAACTGATGTCATTTAAGTTACATCAAGGGGCACTTTGATACGTTTGAAAATGCTTCCCTAAGGAGGACTACACTGTCTTATATTTGCCAACTTATTAATTAATTGTTCAAGAACATGTTGTGTATTTGAAACACCCATGAAGCTTTTTAGATGACACCACTGATTGTTGAGAATCCTTCTCAAATTAGCTACATTTCAAAACAAAGCTTTTGTTTAGAAATAAAGTCCTCTGCTCACTGACTAATGGTCACAGGCTGTTGCTGTCATTGTTCCACTCGGTGTATGACATATGACAACTTTTTCTGATAGAAAAGGTCATCTTCATTATTTTGCTGATGGATTTTAAATCTCTAAAACTCTAGGTTAGTTCTTTAGTCCTAATATTTAAAAAATGTTTGGGGATATATCTACTTCCTTCTAGTTAAACTATACATTCACTTGCAATCATAATGTGTGGTTTGTACCTGTAGGTGATCATATAACTTAAACCGGAGCAGATATTACCTATTAGGGTCCACACCAAAATCATCTAAGCATATAACTGAACACATCAAATGTCACACTTTTCTTCTCCATGTATCCTCAGATCCACACAATGGTTGAGAGCTTGAAACTGTCCATTACTGATCAGCAGCTGCCCATGTTTATCCGCATTTTGGAGCTGATAATTGCCCTCTACTACGGGGAAATCGGAGGACACAAAGAGGGGGAGGAAGAAGAGGGAAATGTTCAAGTCAGAGAGGCTGGCAACATTTTACCTGGTGAGTACGTTTTTTAGAGAGGGTGCTGACAAAAAGAAAGTTTTGTTAGTTTTTTTAATTTTGATTTGTTGTTAAAAAAAAGTCTGGCTTGATTTATTTTATCTTCAATATTTTGAAAACATCTTGGCATATTTTCTTTAAAACACCTTGTATTTGGAAATGTTATGTCTGTGAGTCAAACCAGGGACTCAAAGCTTAGGGCATTTCAAAAGTGAATGCTCCCTAACTAATCAGCTTTCAGGTTGCCCTGAAACTTCTGTCAGTACAATTTTCCAAATCATGACCATCAGTTGCTAAAACTTGCATATGTTAGTACATGAGTTAAGTCATGTTGTCATTTTTTGTTTTTTATTTATTTCTTCACCTACAAATGAGTAGAATAAGGCAGTCCTCTTTTTAAAAGCTGAGGGCCCTTCTCGTTGCAGAAACAACCATTATTCAGTTTTAGAAAAATTGATTTGGAAATGATGTACTGAGGTCTCACAGCGATATAGCATGCGTGTCAGTGCAGTGTCTGCAGCAGTCATTTATCTCGGAAAAAATGTGGTTGCAAAATCTGAAATGAGCCATCAGACCATACACAGCGCTTTGATGCTTTTCTTGAGACAGCATTTTCGTCCTATGACGCCCTGCATGTTGCCTTGTTCTGTTCAGGGGCTATGTCTGTCCTTAAGCTGCTGTTGTTCCTAAACGGGACATTTAACATCACTTTGACCATGGTGTGCACTCCTCCTGCTTTTTCCACAAACAAAAGTTGTAGCGTGTAACTCAACACAGACCGTTGTCGTCAGGCCTGATCCCCTCCATGTGGATAGAGAGAGCAGGATGAAGGGAAGGCACAATGATGAATCAAACACAGGCACATCTGTGTCTTTGAGATTCGAGAACTAGTGGGAAAATCACACTTCCCACATCCAGGAGCTGAGCAAAACCTTCACATGCAGCCAGTTTTCTTGCATACACACACAATATAACACATATACACATGTACTTTGAATAGCTACAGCCACCCCCTTTATAAACCCCACTTCATTCCCTAAACACCCATCTCATCTATCCCCAACTGCTCATCCTCATTTCAGCCAAATAGAACAGGATCCAGTCCCAGGTCCCACTGGGCTAAATCAGCCTCTGTAGCACCAGGAGCAAATGATGGTGCAGGGGAAGTGGTAGGCACCCAACACAATACATCTACTCGCTCACTCCCTCTGACTTGCTCCCTGCCTGCTGGCCTGGAACTTTTACTGCAAGTTGGCGCAGCTTCTAATTCAGTGTCCAATGCCAGATGTAAGAGACGCTGTCATGCTACTGCTATGCGGAGCCTCTGAGAATGAATTAGTATCCCATCACAAAAATATACAAGTGAGGACCAGCTCTGCGAACCTGAGCACTCCAGATCTTGTTATGCTGGAGGTAATTGACAGCGTGAAGAAGCTGAAGTAGAGGGCGTGTGTATTTGTTGGGAGGTGTTTGGGCTTCTGCAGAAATATATGGTTTCAGCATTTTAATTTCAGAGTTACTGCTCAAATGCTTTTTTATTTACATTAAAAGGCATACAAAATATGTAGTGTATTCTTCCTAACCAGTACAGACATTGATAGGTAATGAACATTCAGGTATGTTGACCCTTATAGTCAACGACTTCATTGTGGTTTGTAGGAAACAATCATTGTCACATGATTGCTGGAACATGATCCCAGTTTTATACATAGTACTTCATCACATTCATCTGATTTCCCATAGGCTGCCTGTGGTGAGTCGTGTAATCTGGCTCCAATTCCCTCTGTACTCGTGTTTTTTTATTGTTTTTTTACCCATACTTACTCTTGTATTATATTCTTCTTTTTCTTAATGTGAATGTGTGTTTTGCCAATTAAAAGTGGAACATCCTTTGTGGTGATCCACGTTTTTTGAGTTTGGTGTGAATGAGTATTCAGAGTCCTCAGAGTCCTATCAAATGTAAGGGACCATTACACATGTATCACCCAGAGGCCACTTTCTGTCTGTGCATTATAAACCTCAAGAATTTGTGTGTATTTTGTGTTAGAGCCTGCTCTCTTCAAGTATTACAGTCATTGCGGTAAAATATAAACGTGTGTGTGTGTGTGTGTGTGTGTGTGTGTGTGTGTGTGTGTGTGTGTGTGTGTGTGTGTGTGTGTGTGTGTGTGTGTGTGTGTGTGTGTGTGTGTGTGTGTGTGTGTGTGTGTGTGTGTGTGTGTGTGTGTGTGTGTGTGTGTGTGTGTGTGTGTGTGTGTGTGTGTGTGTGTGTGTGTGTGTGTGTGTGTGTGTGTGTGTTTAGAGGAAGCATGCACAAGAAGCCTTTACTCTGTCAGATAACACAGTCCACTTCTCCCTGTATAAACATGGGGAGACATCTACTGGCCTGTGAGGGCACTGCCTTCTATCACTCCGCCCCTCTAACTGTCACTTACTTCCAACTTACACACCTACCCAAAAATACATCTCTGCCTGGAGGCCTTGGCCAACCATGACCCTGACACATCCTATTACACAGTGCTTCTGAGCTTGCCTTGTGGACATGTGCATGCTTATGTGGTTCCAATCGGATACTGTGAGTTGTCCACAAACAGATCTATTCATACTATAATTGCTTTTATGTTAAAGCAGAGAACATTGTTGGTTGTATTTTATACCTGTATGGTTGTCAGGCTCAACTCCACAGCCGCATACATTTTAGCCAGCCCTCATCCCTCTCTGGGAATTTTTGAGGTACTCCTTTGGATTAATACATCAAAGTCTTCTTAAGCCGGTCTGTTTTGATCACTTGATTGGTAATTGTGCTTTTATTTTGATTGCCTTCCAATTCAAACGTAGGCTTCGCCAGGCTGTGACGTGAAGCGAAAGAGCTTAACTTGTTGAACTGACACCTCAAAGGCTTCCATGGAGGGAAAAAAATAAAGAAACTGAGAAATGATAGATAAAATCCTACAGGGAGATTGGGGGAAGGGAGAGATATTAAAAACCATAACTTGGGATTTCCAACTGTCAGTTCGCAAAGTGAAAGATTTAATTAAAATATGTCATTATTTTCTGCGCCTTAGCCTCTGGGATTCCTAAACTGTGACCTCACGGACAGTATGGTTCTCTCACAGAGGTTATGTGGCTGTTAGGAACGGGATTACACATTCTTGTGTACTGACATTAGCTTCCTCTCTCCCGATTTGTAAAAAAAACAGACACGATAGGGTGAGTTCAGAGGTCGGCATCGTAGATCAAAGCTCTGCATGGTGGTTTGGGGAACCTGTTAAACCCCATATAGTTTGCTGAGAAACAATGATAAGAATAAAGAATAGAGTAAAGTGGCATTGGTGATGAAAGGACTGGCCTTTGACAGTGTCTACATCCAATAATCTTCAATCCTTGGATTTTTTTAACTATGTTTGGGAACTCTGCCCTTTGGTATGTCCAGGCAATACTTCCTCCAGCGTCAATCTGTCTTCTCCCACCACTTTTTACACTCCCCTCTTCACTTGCTGTGAACCTGGTGTTTTATGTTAGCCAGTGCTCCAGACAACCGCTTGCATTCTGTGTATTCGTTGAAGCAAAGAGGTTTTCCACTCTTTCTAACCTTCACCTTACCAAACTTGGATAATGCTTATGGCTCCTAGTCTGCTTTCTCCATGGCCTCCATTTCATTCTGCTGGCTTTCCATCAAATATGTGACCCAACTCCTCACTGCATGCGTTTGTGCTGCTGGGTACCACTCAGAAAGCCCTGACCACAATGATCCACTGAGCCAAGTCAGGGCTCTCTTCTGTCAGGGTGCTGGCTGACCCCCTGTGCCCTCCTATCTCTCTCTCTTTCTGTCTCCTACTCGTGCAGCAGTGTACCAACACATTTACTGGACTCACACACCTGCATGAGTCTGCCTTTCTGTGCTGTCTGTGTGTGTTCAGTAGAGAGCTGAATTATCTTGCTTGTATTAAACTACCTCGAAGGCAAATTAATTGAGTGTGCTGCTTTAGGCACATACACTCCCATTGTAAAGAACTTTCCCTCTGTTTGACCAGTGTGTTCTGAGAACCTGCATCTTTAAAAGGATTTAAAGCATGGGAATTAAGTGTTTAATCTGAGCCCTCATTTTAATGCAATATATATATTTGACAAAAATACTGCTACTACTTGTGTACAAATTTGAAATATAATTTGCAAAAGGCAATTCCCCCCATTTATTTAAACAAATCTTAATAGGTGTAAGGGTTAGGGGTGGGGTTATGCATTTTTATAATTGTGTCTACTTTGTGTGCACCAGATCTTTGTAAGTTTGAAAGTATAAAACTGTAACTGTTTTAAAATGAATCTAAATCATCTGATGCAGATTATTTGATTATATCTTTATCCCCTTCAGGAATGGAGGAGGATATGGATGGACAGGGGACTAACCAGTTCTCCAGCCCAGACCTCTACATGCAGTCTGGTTGTCCTGAAGATGGGGACATGGGTTGGGTGACCTGGGCTTGGTCTTTTGTTCCAGCCATCGTAGGCACAGAGGAGGAAATGGAGGAAGGCCTCTACCAGCAGGGAGAGACAGAAGGCATCTCCAACAATCTACAACAACGCACACCCAAAGACCCCATTGTGTCCATAGGCTTCTACTGCACCAAAGCTTCTGTTACCTTTAAGGTAAATCAATTGTTTAAGAAATGCACACATTGTCATGAATTAGTTCATTTATAAATACCATATTGAAGCCAGAATGTGGGTAAGCACACATTGGTTGAATGACAGTTCCGTGTGTACAAACATAAATACAAAATAAATAACCCCATCTTAATGTCAAATATGAAAATGTAATGGTCAAACAAAGGTAGATGAAGTGCCTTAAGATTTGGCGAGGTTTAAAAAAAAGTATTCTGGATCACACTGCCAGGAAATACATTTGATATAAATATAATTAAGAGTTAAGAGGTACTTAAAATAAAATGTATTTTAGATAAACAAATACATTAATTACGGTGGCTATAAAATAAAAACAATTATATCCAGAAAAACATAAAAATGTGGATAGATGGTGAAGGTAAAAATATGAAGTTGTCTATTTCAGCAAAGGTAAAAACTATTTTGTATAGGTGGCTATTCTTAGGGAAATGTTGCAAACATGGTAGAGATGAAGGGACAGACATAAAGATATTAATGTATTAACAATTTTACGTTGTCTTGAATCTTATACTGTATATTGTTGTGATTTTCAGTTTGAGAGTAGCTTGATCTTCAGGAAGTAATAACCCTCTTTGTCTCTGTGTGTGGTTTAGGGGAGGGTAGTGTAACCACTAACTTGTGTTGAATCCTTTTAATGGGACAAATACCTTTAAGGAGAGGTAATCAGGGATGCTAGTGGCAGCAGTAGCTTCGTGTTTAACTGGCTTTATTAAGCATTTGTGTTAGTACTCATATGCTATGCTACGTTCTCAATCTGTTAGATTGTTTCAGGCCTAGCTTCATTCATAAATGTCCCAACAGTCCAGCTTGGGTAATGCTTAATTGGCAATCTTTTTTTTTGTAATTAGAGTTATCATAGAAAGACAGACAGAGCAATTCGTTAGTCATATCATTTCACCTCCTTGCTCATGGCTCCCACGGGACCTGCGGGCCAGATAGAGTGACCGCTGCATGTGATCAAACCATCCGAATGGAAAGAGGGCAAGGAGTGAGGGTGAGAGAGTTTGCTCCATCAGTAGGGATAATATGGCACAGCTGCTCTTTGCTCAGCACCTGCTTCCTGTGTTAAAAGTTGAATGGGTTAGGGCCTTCACGACAACCACATTTTTTAAACTGGACAACCTCAAAGCATCACAGCTCTGTCCCCCTTTCACTTCCACCAACTAGGTGGCCAGACCCAACCCACACTATCTCTACACACAGAAAAAACGCTCTTCAAAATCCTTCTCCCTCTCTAAATTCACCCGAATACTCAACACACAATAACTTGTACATTATGCCTTTTCTTTGATAAATTCGACTGAATACTAAACAAACATTGACTTACATTTTTCCCCTACTTTAATAAATGTTCCTGAATACTCAATAAACAAGTTAAGTTCTTGGTATCTTGAGCTGTTTTGTCATGTTCTGATTGTATAATCTTATAAAGCTAGAAGGGGCCTAGACAAATGTCATCTGTCCTTGTGTGGATGTAATCGTTTCTGTGTTTTTTTAGCATTAGTTTCTAATGCCTTTTTGCCCAATCCTTAAATAGCTTTTGTATATTTTTCAAATCATATATCTGTTTCATTAATCAATCGTGGGTACACACACACCCTCACAAAATGAGACGCATGTTTTTTTAAGTGTTGACATTTTGTGACATCTCTGTATTGTTGTCGTAACCGTTACTTACTCTGTCAAACAGCGCATAGCTTTCACTGGTTGTCTCCAGATATGGATTACTGCCATTTTAAGACTTGATTAATATGTTTTTTAAATACCTTATCTACTTTCTGAATGTCACAAAGTCTCAACTGTAACAAAATAGTTTTCTTTGTATTGCTTCACGTTCATGGTCTTTTGCTTTACTGTATATTTTTGTGACACCTGTTTAAGCATTTCCCTAATCGAAGTTGAGTGGTATCTTTACTTATAATTTAGGTTCATTTTGAACCTTTTATTACATGATTGCTGTCTCTATATTTTCAGCTGACCGAGACCCAGTCAGAGAGCAGCTACTACAGCCCTCAGAAAGTCAAGTCCAGAGATGTCCTGTGTGTGGAACAGGAGGGGATCACTATTGAGGTAAGATGCCACAGCTTCATTCTTAAGAAATATGTATGTTTTAAAGCCATTTATTGTTTTATACAAATCGTTATACTTCATTGTCTACATTTTTGACATTCCATATTATTAACAGAATAGCTACACTATTTAATGACAGCTTTCTGTTAACTTTTGTTATCTATTAAACAGCCCCATGTCCAGTTCAAATCTCAAAATAAGAAAATAGGCACACAAAATGTATATAAACATTTCTGATTACATATTATCTCAAGCTCTGGATTGCAACTTTATTTCTAATATTAAGGGTGATAAATGTTTTAATCTAAAAAAAAATATATTATCTTCACAACATGTACCCTTGTGCAACCATTGGACAGACCTATAAAGATCGCGGTTCCCCCCTCTCTTTCCCACTATTGGTATCTCCTTATTCACTGTTGGATAGAAGTTCATCTTATTTCCTTCCAGTATACATTTTAAAGCCGCCCAGGTCTCTAGTCTCTGCCTGTTAACACATGAGAGTTGAATCCTAGTCGGCCCCAGTCTGATCTTTTCCGCATTTGCCCCTTGGTGTAAACAGATAATACGATTTTTCAACCTTATTGGCAGTTTACCTGTATGAACTAGGAAAGGGTTTTCTGCTCCTAAGCTTACTACCACATGTGACAGTTTTGACAGATTTCCAATTCTGGTCATTTATGCTTTTGGTGGAAGAGGGAGAGTGATCCTTCTGAACTGGGACCAAAAGTGAGAGTGTTGAAAGGCAAAGGAATGGCTAGTAACATTTGGGAAAACCATGCCTTGTAATAATTGTGTGGTGAAACGTAATGTTTATTGGATAGCTCTCCGCTTAATTGTCGGCCGGGTAGAGCAGAGTCAACCACACGTTACTGCTTACAGAGTCTGATGGACTGCTACCACACAATCACATGCACACACCACTCTCAGGTCTGACCCCTGATATTTGTATCATACCAGAATAAGCCCACCTTATTTGTGAAAAGTCCACAAAAAATGGAGTCTTCATTATTAGTAAGAAAGTAATTTATTCATAGAAATTCTGTAATTCTGTTCTGTTATATAATAGCTGTTAAAGACTCTTCCTCTGGTTTTTATTCCAGGTGCTGATGATGGGGGAGCCCTTCTTTGATTGTCAAATAGGCTTTGTGGGGTGCCGGGCACTCTGCCTGAAAGGCATCATGGGAATACGAGATTTTGAAGAAAACATGAACCGACTTGAAGAGGTAACAACTGCTGAAGAACCATAATGAAAAATGTAAAAAGCTTAAAACTTGAATGAAAAAGATAAAGAAAGAAAAAGTAAACACCAAGGCGAGAGATCACTTTCACCTGAACCCTGTCTCTGTAGCCTCCATTGCTCCCGAGAGCCTTCACACAGAGATGTGTTATGGTTTGTTTTGGGAAAAGAAAGACATATTTTTGCCTTTCTGACACATATGACTGTGTCAGCATCAGACTCGCTATCTGCTCATAGACAACACTTTTGGGCTCAATCCAAATAAATGCATTTTCATCAACTACCGTATTTTCCAGACTATAAGTCGCACCTGAGTATAAGTCGCTCTTATGTAAACACTAGGGCTGTCAGTCGATTAAAATATTTAATCGCGATTAATCGCATGATTGTCCATAGTTAATCGCGATTAATCGCAAATTAATCGCACATTTTTTATCTGTTCTAAATGTACCTTAGAGGGATATCTTTCAAGTTTTTAATACTCTTATCAACATATGAGTGGACAAATATGCTTTATATGTTTGTTTATTATCATTTGAACAATGACAAATATTCTCATGAATATTAAACACAACAACCTGAACATTACAAATATTCGCCTCAATTCAACCTGGAACCTCTCTCATACAATAATACTGTGTGTGTGTGTGTGTGTGTGTGTGTGTGTGTGTGTGTGTGTGTGTGTGTGTGTGTGTGTGTGTGTGTGTGTGTGTGTGTGTGTGTGTGTGTGTGTGTGTGTGTGTGTGTGTGTGTGTGTGTGTGTGTGTGTGTGTGTGTGTGTGTGTGTGTGTGTGTGTGTGTGTGTGTGTGTACACTGTGATAGATCGTTGGAGCTATGTGCAGCTCAAGGCATATATGCTCGAACGGGAGCTGCCTGGACGCTGCAATCATGTTGCGCGTACTATCCGTGCTGAGTGTGCTGACTTTTCGTACAATGTCCCACTGTCTGGCTACCTGCATAAAGTCAAGTGCTCGGCGCAGTTGTCGCGAAATGTCATTGAAACAGCTCCTTATATCCGTTAGCGCAGCTAGCTAGCACCAGATGCTAACAACAACAACACGTAAGGTGTGCCTCGCTCGCGCGAGTCGCGCCACACATACACACTCCCTCCCGGTCCTCCCGATGGCCAGTCCGGGCCTGCCGGTGAGCGTGGAAGTGTGGTCTGCCACAAGCGGGCGGTAGGAGCGGGGCTGTCAGCATCAGCTTGTCGATGGTATTTTAAACTCGATGCGCTCTGAAACTACGGCGGCCGAGGACAAAAAATACACATGCGTTAATCGCGTTAAAATAATTAGTGGCGTTAAAAAATGTTTGCGTTAACGCGTTATTAACGCGTTAACTTGACAGCCCTAGTAAAAACGTGTCGTTAAGATAAAAAAAACATATAAGTCGCTTCGGTGTTTAAGTCGCATTTATCCACTGAAGTCTTCATCCTCTGTGCCGCTGTTAAACACTTCCGCCAACTCCGGTGGAAGTGTTTAACAGCGACACAGAGGTGTGGATGAAGCAGCATGTCCTGCTCCGGGCTGTCCTCAGACTCTCCATCAGAATCAGCTCCGATTAGACCTTTCTGAATCCCGACAGGATGGTGTCAGTCGTCACTGAAGCCCATGCTGTGTCGATTCATCCCACAACATCCTGTAAAGTTACATGACGCATCCTCCCCGTTCTTATTATACATCCATGATCCTCCCGGTTGCCGTGACTTTTTTCTTCTTCGTGGTACAGCAGTTTTCAGTTGTCACGATTGTATACAGTGCCATCTATTGGCCGGAGTTTGAACGCAGTCAGACACAATTCAATATATAAGTCGCTTCGGAGTATAAGTCGCAGGACCAGCCAGACAGGTAAAAAAAACGCGACTTATAGTCCGTAAAATACGGTATGTATTAATTGTGTGTAATTGATTATCTTTCTAAGGTAGATTTTAAGTTGTGCATTCACCTATGACGTATTTGCCAAGAGGCCTCTTTAACATTTGTGCCGTTCCCGACATGAGTTGCATGCAATATATTTTCATCATCTATAGTCGTTTTTAATCATTTCACATTCAATAGCCTACATTTAATACAGCACTTGGCTACATACAATGTGCCCCCCAACAACCACCGGTTAGGAATGATAACTTGTAGAATATCTCTGATTCCTTAGCAAAGACTGGTCTATTGTGTGTCCCAGGAATTACTTTCCATTGTCTACATTCCATGGTTTAATTGAAGGGACAGTATTTTTGTGACATCTGATGTCTTAAGTATTGTTCACATTCTCTTTTGTCTCTGTAGGATGCAGTGTTCTTCAGCTGTGGGGACAGCCTAAGCAGTAAAGGAATGACCTACCTCACCAACTCCCTGTTTGACTACCGCAGTCCCGAGAACAACTCTGTCAGGGCTGAGTTCATCCTGGAGACTGCTAATCACAAGGTCAACATATGGGACTACACTACTCTTTCAAAGAATATTATCAGAATGTTTGTTTAGGATTTTTTATGTAAAAAAAAAATTGTTTGAATCTGTTTAAATAATGTAGATGTTTTGATGGATGGAGGAAAGATGGCAGAGACTATACCTTATGGCAGAATTAAAGCAGTCAGTTCCAAACCAGACAACAGCCAACTCAAAACACACCTCACACCTGGCCCTAAGGGCTAACACACTTATTTAACCAACAGCATTACAAGAGAATGCATTAAACATAATGAAATCAATGATGCTGTTTACATGAACAGCACATGCTGTTGACACAGTCCTCACTAAAACAAATACTTTTCTCTATTTTCAGAAATATAAAGTCTTCATTGCCAAAAAAGAGAACAAAAGATGATTCTGTACAGATATTACTGTGGCTTAAGTGACTTTCTCAAAAATGCAAGAAAGGAATACAAATGTGGTTAATACAATACTTTATCCAGGTCACAAAACAATAATCCAAAAATATTACATTCAGTCTTTTTTCAGCTATTATCTGGAAAAGCTCAAAGTACAGCTCGTATCATTTTAAATCGGTACTAATTAAATACAATAGTGTGCTTTTTAAATGCAATTTCTTATTTTTCTTTAAAATAAATCATTTAAATGTGTATAACTGCTGAATATCTGACAGTCTCCGGGCTGCTAGCTGCAGTAGAGGAATGTTCCTGCCATCTGAGCAGTAGTGTTGAAGCCATTATTAAGATGAGATAACTCTCAGCTCCAGTGTTGACTCAGCTCAGAAATGGTCATGACCCTCAATGAAGCAATTGTTTGGACATCCATCCATCCATCCATCCATCCATCCATCTGGGCGGTGGTGGCGAAGTCCATAGGTACTTGGCTTGGGAACCGGAAGGTCACTGGTTCAAGTCCCTGAAAAACCAAGTGCTACCGAGGTGTCCCTGATTAAGGCACCGTTCCCTACACTGCTCCCCGGGTGCCGTACATAATGGCAGCCCACTGCTCCTAACACTAGGATGGGTCAAATGCAGAATGTACATTTCCCCTCTGTGCGCCGATTAAGGGTATATAAAAAAGGTATATATACTTGAAGGTGAAAGAGTTAAAGGTTTTGTTGTTAATTCATTAGCGGTTTTGAAACCAGCCACTGGCTTTGATCCAAAAGCATGCCAGAGCCATTAGAGGTCCCCTAATAAATATTACTCATTAACCTGCCTTGCTGATAAGGCTCTATTGAAATGTCTGTTTAGAGAAGTTGAGTGTGTCCTGGTTGGGGGTGTTGAATATGTGGGCGAGGGGGGGCTTCTCTCATTCATTCTTTCTGTTTCTTGCTTGTTCACTTATTCTCTCTTTCAACCAGTGGTTTGTGCAATAGAACTTTTGCTTTTAAATATTGTCTAACACAGGGTCAATAGCTCCAACTTGCACACGAATAAGTGATGAGTGGTAACAGTTTATCCTGGTATATTAAAAAAGATACAAGTTTTTGCCAAGATCTAGATTTTAGTTGTTAACAATAATGATAATTGTCAATGAATAAAAGTGACAATTACAAAATAGTTGAATTATATACATATTGCATAACACTCATACTTCATACATAAGACGCACCATTTCCAAATAACATTGCACAAATGTACATTAAAACAGGTTTAATCAGAATTGTTGGATTTGTCATAAAGTCCTTTCTTTTAATAGATATGTTTTTCTTTCCATTGATAGTTTATCGCGTATAAGCAATTAAGAATGTGTACCAAATGACGACCCCATGCACCATATACTTACTAATGCGTACATTTAGTGAAGTGTCTTCTCTTTATCATCATTTCTGAATAAAATAGTTGAAATAGGTGGTTAGTTATCATTTCACCCCAGATTCAAGACATACAATACCTCCGCCATAATCAAGTCTTTTACAAAAGTTCCAAATATCAGTGATATTGTTGACCTGTAAAAAAATGTCCAACTAAAAAGATTAACCCCTTAATTACCCTTTGTTTTATCTCTAATTTGCCCCCTTTGCCGTATCCACCATGACCCCAGGCACTGGCACTCTTAAATGCTGTGAGCGTGTTTGCTCCCTTTCTGCCATGTTTACCTGACTCTGCTCTTGTTTGACAGGAGACCTATACGGAGATAGCAGGCATTCAACGCTTTGGTGCATTCTACATGGATTACCTCTACACAATGGAAAACAGCAGCAGCAAAGGTATTGTGTAGTTCATTCCTTCACACAGAGCTTGTTTGCTTAACTTGCCAGCCTTTCTTCCTTTTCTTTATACCTGTCCTGTTCTCCTTTTCTGCTTTCTTTGCTTGTCCCTTCTCCTCATCCCCATCAATCTTTTACTTGCTGTCTTTGATTGTTCTGTTCTGTTCTGTTGTCTCGTCTTGTGTTGTCTTCTGTTCTCCTGTTCGGTTCTGGTCTGTTCAGTTCTCTTGTCCTGTCCTCTCCTGTCTTGTCTTCTCTTGTCCTCTCCCCTCCCCTCTTTTCTGCTCTTCTCTTCTCTATGTCAAGGAGCCCCCTGGTGACTTGAATAAAGAGCTGTTCTTGTTTGAGTCCCCTCCACATGGTCCTTGACCCTTCCTGTCCTCACTCTCACCCCAAACTTACCTGGAGGGCGGCTGTCAGAGGTGTTTAGTCTGCACTGACATGTATTTGAGTTTCTCTCTCCCCGCTGCTTGTTGAAACACTGTTTTTCTTTACCTGTAAGCTCTTGACAAAGTGAATGGGCTCCTCTCAGCTAATTAGGTGTCACTCTTCCTCGCAGAAGCCTTAAGATAGGCAGGATTTCTCATTCCTCAGCTGCAGCACTCAAGAATGTTTATACAGGTCTGAAAGATCTGAATTTCCCATTAAGTGATAAAGTATTTTCCCTTTAATTTCAAAATATTATATTTGGCTTTAGCGTGCAATGTTCAGTGTTTTTAATTCAATGCTGTGACACCTGACTGACACCACAAGTTCTAAGGTGCCCCCCCAAACCCACACACACACACACACACACACACACACACACACACACACACACACACACACACACACACACACACACACACACACACACACATCTAATACCATCTCTATGAAACTCCTTACTTTGGGTAATAGCAAAATGGTAACAGTAGAGCCTTTTGGCCCATGTCTCCCTTAATTCTAACACAACATGGTGTTAGGGCATCATGCTTCATGGAGTGGAAACGACCAGTTAGAGTGATAATTAACTTTGGCATCATTTTGATGATGTAGTGTACAGTTGCCTGTAGATCTGGTTAAACCAATTGAACAACTCACACATATTCATTGATGTGTTAAGAGTTGAGTGTCATCTATGCTGTCTCAACTACCTACACTTGTTCCCTTTTTGTATTCCTCTTTCTGACTAGGCTATTGTTTGCTCTTGCTGTCAGCTACAGATAGTAATCTAAATTAAAAAAAAACATTGATACTGTCATCCTGAGCTGTCAAAGTCATTTCTGACAGCAGGATAAGTGTCAGTGTAATTCCTGCGGGACGGCTGTGGTTACCCTTGCCAGTTGGAATGCTTCTCTTCTGTCAGTGTTTCTGTTCTTCTCGGACGCGGACCAGATCCAGTGTCAACCAAACAAATTAGTTTCCATTGCCATGGGACCAACATAAACTCTGAGTCAACTGAAACACTAACCGACCTAGGTCACATTCACCATTGACTTCACATTAGAGTAACGCTGCAGATTAAAAACTTTTTCCTAAATCTTGGGAAATGGAGACACTTTTAAATCATCTAAATCCCAGCTAATTTAAGCCTCCTCATCATTCCACTGACCGTTCTAACTGCAGCCATATGGTTGATATTAGGCCTAATCCATTGCAGCCAAACTCACTGAAGAAGGGAAGGGGAAGTGGCATTGCACATGCCCTTTATAAATCCCCAGAATTCAATGGAAATGTCACCCCATCCCCCGACCTATGCAGCTAAAATAGTTTAACTCATAGAGTTGTAAAAATGTTTGGTGCAGTGGTAGAATGTAATGAAAATAAAGAAAGTTGTGACCCTTTGTCCTCTTTCTTCCTCACTGCCATTCATCCACCCCCTTCATTGTTTTTTAATTTCTCCCTTTTTATTGCCGGGGAGCTGAGTCTTTCAAGTGGCCCTCTGGAACAGGGGCCTGTGATGAATGAAGGGACAGCTGTGTGAGAGATGTGGACATTTGGAATATTCATCATTCCAGTGGGTCACGGCTGTGAGAGCTGTTCCCTGCTGCTGTGTTACACCACTGCCAAACATTTTTGGGGATTCTATACTTAAACACATGTACATGAAATAAAAAAGGTGACATATCCATTTGACTTGTTACATTTTTGCACTGACTGACAGAAGAATCCTCAAATTGTAAGATCACTACCCATTTAGAATTTCGCTATTGTATGCATGTTTGTTTCTGTTTGTAGAGCCTCAGGACTTCTCTGTGGTGAGTTTGGAGGAGGTAGTACCTGCCATTCAAGAGACATCAATCAAGAGGCTTGTGGTGGGAGCTTTGGAAGTCAGACTGCACAGCAGTGCCATCCACCGCATCCTCAAGATGGTCACCTGTGCCATGGAGCATGAGTATGAACCCTACTGCAAACCACAGCCAGGTCAGTTATCTCCTACAGTTGCTCCATCTGTTTCATTCAGCGTTCTTTAACAGCTACTAAAACAGCCAGCTAACAAATGATAGCTTGCCATACTCCCTACACTCAACTAACACTTGATACAATACTGTCTCTTATCATTTCTCCTTTTGTCTTCTCCTCCTTTCTACTCTGCACATGTTCAGAAAGTGCACAGTTTTCACTTTACAGTATCCTCATCACATTGTTATTTCCTTACACAACCCGTCTTTCAACACACAGCTGTACATGAAAGTAGTGACCTTTTGCACCACATGAGGGAGGATTAGCCAAACACCTTGTTAGTGGTAGTCCCTATGCAGCTATTGATGAGCTCATCCTTGGGATGTTGTGAAAGAACATGGAATGTGTGTCTGTGTGTAATATCTGTAGCAATAACTCTCATTTTTGCGAAACAATAACATCCGTAGGTTTCAGCTGTTTCAGCATCTGCAATAAATAATAGATGATGGGGTAATTACTGCAGAGCTTTTGACTAAAGCTGGGTAGGTCTGGAGGCGTGTGGCGCAGTGGATAGAGCGTTGGTGTTCAGATCAGGAGGTCACAGGTTCAAACCCCACTGCAGTCAGCATGTCGTTGTGTCCCTGAGACACTTCACCCCAAAGTGCTCCTGTGGGGATTGCCCACAGGATTGAGTATGTAAGTCGCTTTGGATAAAAGCATCTAACAAGTAACATGTAATGTAATGTAGGTCAGTGTGTTCCTTCCTGTTTCTATATGTGTCTGTGCTCAATCTGGCATTTTCTGGTCTGGAGAAGGCTCAGTACAGTCATTGAGAAATGAAGAGTAGATAAAAGAGGCAAAATGATTCACCAAGGTAGCTATTACAGATCGAGTGAGAAGATAATACATGCCTTTTGTTTTTTCCTCTCCTGCCCTCCCCTCTTCTCTCCTCTCCTCTCCTCTCCCCTCCTCTCTGGGGGTCAAGACTTGACTATATTTCTACTCATCTTGTAAAATTTGTTTTACTCCTCCTGATACACTTCTTGCTAATAACTAATGAAAAATCACTTCCCTCCCAAGAACTAGATGTGTGTACAGTATCACATTTTTCCTAAGATTAATGGAAGGAACACAGTAAAATGCTTTTTAAAGCTGTATCTGTTGAGCTGGACAAGAAAATCCAGGGTGTGACAGTAATAGTTTTTGTGTGCCATTGTGTGTTGGCCAGCACACTTTTGTATATCCTTTTCTGTCTGCTTTGAATACAAAGTGTTTTCGGGTGTGTAATCATGCCTCTGTGTACCATGTCATCTGCATGTCTTTTATAATTTGTGTGCTGACTGGGGATATTGACTTGAGGGCTGGCATATGATTGGATTGGACATGGCACTGCCAGATGAACCTGAAGCGGGTTGTGGCGGAAGGCCAAAGAGCAAAGCAGCAGTGGGATCAGGTTCTGAGCCCACCTTGGAGCTGGGAATGAAGCCCAACAGAACCTTTACTGAACTGAAACAAGCCCATGTCCTGGGAGCAGAGCCAAGGCGGCTCGGTAACAAAGTGCTCAGGTTTTGGTCCACCTCAGGCCCTGCACAAGGTTTAGCGGTTCAGTGCTCTGGTCCCTCCTTACCTTGGTGGGCGCTGACCTTACTCGCCTCTGTTCCAAGTTGACTTGCTTCACTTCATTTTCGGACTTTCCGGATGTTTCTGGTTAATTATTGAATGAGTTTCTTTATGAAATAGTTCAAATCAAAGATACTGGGAAACATCCACTGTAATGAATATCCCTTGAAAGTCCTTTTTAGAGCTTGTTTATTTTATTTAGCATATGAGGTGGTGGTTTTGTTGAAAAATACTTTTGTATTGTTTAAATGATGCAGGCCGAATAGAGAGGCGCCCACTAAAACAAATGGGTGTGCTTTACAGCTGACCTGTCTATAAATCAGTCCTCCTCAAATCTAAATACTTTTCCACTCCCTCACTTTATTCAAATAATGCACCACAGGTGATATACTTGTGGTTAGATTGATTTCAACAAAGATTTATTTTTTAAATATTATGTTTAATTGAACACTGTAGCCTCTTCAAGCAACTCTGCAATATGTTCTAATATTTGTTACAAAGCTAACGTTTTTTTCTATTGTGTCTCTTTAGAAATAGTTGAAGAGGGCCATGGTGCAGCTACTCCAGAAGAGATATCAAGCTTAGAGGAATTCATCCCAACCAGACTCACATGTCTCACTCTCCTCTCAGTCTCCGTGACTGTCTCCATGGCAGAGTTCAACCTCCTTCACACACTCATGCCTGTGATCATGGGATGCAAGGTAGTGCACACAGACTTCATTCTTGCAAATAATATCTTGAGAACCTCGAGAAGGGTAATAAGCATGCTGGATGCGCTGCATACAATTATTGTGTGAAAATCATACATACAAACTGAAATGGAGAGAGAATGATATGACCTCAAGATTGTAATACACATATGCCAACATAATTATAAAGAACAAATCATTTTAGGTACTAACTGAACCTTCAAACAGGTAACTGTCTTGCTAAAAATGTTTAAATGACTTATAATGTACATATCTGAATATGTTATTTATCTAAAAAAAGATAACATTGTTTTGCAGTCTTGTGGTGAGGTGGGAAAAGTGTGTATTGTAATGTGTTATTCCTGACTCCACATTACTAAAGGTCTGCAATACTATAGGTTGGTCTCCAGATGCACAAGGGAGACTGATGAGGACATTTTGACTTAAGACTTAACTTAGAGCAGTTTCCTGCCTTTAATCCATTTCCCCCTTTTATATCTCCCAGGTTGCACCGGTGCTAGTTAACGTGCCAGTGTTTCAGCCGGTGCGCCCTCTACCTGCTGTACAGTTCCAGGTGGAAAGGGTGAATGTTGAACACACAGTGCCCATGTATGCTCCAGAGCTGGTCAGCACAGTGAGCAGCCTCAGCCAGCCTTCTGACAACCTGCTGCATCACTGCTATGCACACCTCTACCTGAAGGTGAGAGCCACACATTTCAACTTTGGCTGCACTGTCAGTACATTTAAAAAAGTGTGACATATTTCCAACAACATCATTGAGTAAAACTCTTTTGACACATTCACATTCAAAGATTCAAAGGTTTATTATCATATACACAACTACTGTGTATTTATGTAATGAATGAAACATTTTGGTTGGTAAGGTTCCTTAACAATGCAATTACCAGCCATACAACATAAATACAAATAAAAGATAGATCTAGATCTGAGTTAGACCCTGCATATCTTTGTTTAATTTAGCATTTGCTCATTTGGTTCTCTTATTATAGTTATGTGCTGTTTAAGTCCGTTAAGAAACTATACCCTTGCAGGATTAATAAAGGATACCTTATATTATCTTATCCTTTCTCATAGTATGTATTTGATCATGTACAATTTTACCGCGGTCTCGTTATCTAAAATATTGACACAAAATACTTACTTACCGTTGTTTTTTATGTACCTTAGCCAGAAGTTGTCAGGTCAATCACACGGCCACAGTCGTAACTCCGCTATGAAATAACCCTAATGACCTTGATGACCCCTTTTTACTGGGTTGTAAAAATCTCAGCACTGAGCTTTCTGATGAGGACCAGTCCAACCCTGGTCTTCTTCATGATTTTTACCCACCAAACTGATGGGATGGTACAAGCCTGTGTTGTGCAGATTGTCCATACTCTTTGTCACCCATGCTTCATGATTTTGATAATTCAGCAGTTATATAGTGTGTAAATGCCTATTACTTACTATACTACTCATGTTGTTAGACCCTTTTATTGACAATTAATTTGAAATTCTTTTTTTAGTATGGTATGAATAATGTGTTATACCTCTATACTATAAAATAGCGTATGTATTCATAGCAACGCCTTTAGAAATGACTATTGATTTTTATCTAAATGTGTTCTATTGTATACATAGCTGTCACAAATGACTTACATACACACTCTTTGCGTAGATATACATTGAGAATAAAGTTAAGAAAAAGTCATAACTGATGGCTTTAGTATCTACACTTGTGAATCGGTCTTACTTTTAGAATCATCCTATAATTAAACTACAAATAAACTTGTTTTCACCTCTGCATTTATGGTTTAACTTGAAGACCCAGATGTCCCATGGAGTACATATAGAACTATGGAGGCTTAAACAAATTCAGTTAAACCACATTTTAGGAAGCCTGGATAACATATCTGAGAAACCTGGGGTGGCCCAGTGTGGCCTGGTCTGGCCTGGTTGTTTGCTGGACATCGTGCTGGTAGACCTTATCACAGGGTCACTGCAGGGTTAACAGTCAACTGGTCTGTGGCCAAATATCCTTCTGAACAAGCCAATCAGCATCTCTATCTGCCAATGCACTAATTCCTCCTCTGGATTTAGGCAGTGGGAGCATGACGAGGTCATTTTGGCTGCAATTCAGCCAGTTCAGGAAGTGATTTCAAACGGGTGTAAACTAAGGCTTATCTTAATCTGTGTTTTGTTGACACTGACTGACAAAGCTAAGGTGACTGTCTTGAGGATAGCAGGTAGCCATTGTTTCACTTTTCCATGGATATAGACAAGAACTCAGTCAGCCTTGCTCAACAAGGAGGCCAAATAAGTAAATAGACCAATCATAATTGAAAACTAGGAATATTTGTATAATAAATTGCTTGGGGCAGCTTAAAGGACAACACAATTTGAAATATTTTCTCCCATGGGAACTGCAATGAATCCGTCTGTGGCTGTATGAGCCCAAGCTTGCATTGGAGGATTTTCAATATATATACATCTTAGCTTGGCAATTACACAATTACATTTGGTATACTCATCACATCCAACGTTTTGTAAGTCCACTATGGGCCATCTGCACAATTGGTTTGGTAGACCTTCACTTGCATGAATTGAATCTGTCATAAATTAATATTTATACATATACAAGTTGAAGTAAAAACACACAGGAAAGAGGCAGGACATCATCCACAGAGACCCTCTGAAGAATCAAAAGAAACTTTGGAAATGTTGTTGATGGAAACATTGTCTGAACAGTCCAGAAGCCATCAATGGGAATGTTGTTGTCAGATATATCCTGCATATATAGATATAACCATAAGGTGCAGCCATGTTTCATAAAGCACATTAAACTACTCTCCAGATATTCTGTCTGACTTCTAGCCAACACCCTTAGCTCATCCATTTCTAGTATTTTAAATGCTAAATGTATATGCTATGCTATGCTTCAGCACAATTCGCTTCTCCCTGGTGTAAACAAGGTAGCCATGGGGTTGCTGTGCAACAGCGGCATCAATGCACAAAAGCAGCAACTCAATTGAGAAAAACAAAAAAAACTCTCTTTAAAATAGCTCAGAGAGGGCACTTCTTTCTGAAAGCTAAACGCTAAAAGTGGTACAAATCTAATATGAGCAACTGCAACAGGCTGCATACACGATTATTCAGAAAAAGTGTGCTTGTGAACTTTACTAACTAATTAGCAAACTTTTGGGCAAAAATCTTTAAAGAAAAAAATGAATTTTCTGTACTTAAGGTACCCTAAGTATTAGGGCTGTCAGTCGATTAAAATATTTTATCGCGATTAATCGCATGATGTCCATAGTTAATCGCAAATTAATCGCACATTTTTTATCTGTTCTAAATGTACCTTAGAGGGATATTTTTTGCACTGAGCCAGTTGCTCAAACAGACAAGCCTGTTTACAGTTGTCGGTGAAATGCCGCTCCTCAGTCAAAGCATGAGACTGAAGTTTGTGGGTCAAAATAATGCGCTGTGATGTGCAGTCGTGAAACGTTGGATGTGATCCGAATGATCTAACGCAGCCCCTCGTCCTCCACAATGTTAAGCTGTAGCTACCCATTTAGCTATCGCTGTTGTTGTCCAGGCGTCTCTACACAATGTCCGCTGGGAACAGATAGGGTTAACCATTTCAGTGGCGATAGAGATGAGAGAACAATAAACGCCTGCTCTGTGCTTCTGTGTTTTCTTTCCAGACACTGTGTTCACCATAAGAGTTGCCATGTTTCTTTCTGGGGATCCAGGGAATGGTTTGATCTTATATGTTGCTGCATATGCATTTTCTTGTCTGCATATTTCTTCCCCTGTCTTCCCCTTTCTACCTCTCAACATCTCTCACACACTTGCTTTCTTTCTGTTTCTCTTTCCAGGTGTTTGGGTTCCAGGCAGGTTTGACATGCCAGGACAGTACGGGGGGTTTCCTGCCTCTCATCCCCATCATCCCTTCCTTCAGCACTGCGCTCTATGGGAAGCTGATCCAGATGCCTGTATACTGGTGAGCTACCTCAAATTGTTCTTAAGCCTTAACATTTCATATTGCCTATTTAAAATGATTGGGATTGTCTCAAAGAGATCACACCCAATTCTTCCCAATACTAATTCAACACGTAATTTGTCACATGTTTTGCTCTTAATGCATTGCTTTTAATCCACCCAAATGATTCTGTGTCTCAAAATGTTTTGTCTCTCTGAATTTCGTTCTGGCCAATCTTTGCCAAGTCCACTCTGCATGTTGCTGATTATTTAAACAGTATTGTTTTTGACAGCACAGTTCAATGGGGTGCTGACACAACATATCGTTTTAGCCTTACAGAGAAAATGTTTTCTGGGTGTTTAGTATAAACATCCCGACATTTTTGAGCCGCAAAAGTATCCAAAGATTACCTCAAAACATGATTTCTCTGTTTATTATAAATATAAAAAAACTGAAGAAGACTGGTATGCTGAAAATTGCCACAGGCTGAGTCCTGGAGTACATATTTTTATTAGATCCACGTGTTGTTTTAAGATTTAACATATACAATTGGTCAACATGGTCATTGTTTTCATGTCATTTGTGATGGCTAAAGTGTCAAGTCAACTACAATAAATGGTTAATAAAGTTAACAGTCACTCATCAGTGTAATCCAGTGAAGATGCATACCAAAGTGGGGAGGCAGACGTTCATGGAAAGTTTCATCTGGTTTCAGAAAGGTTTGGGTGTGAACCTCCTCTGTGTATGCGTGCTTGGTATTTGTACGCATGCTTTGCTTTTCTGTATACAGTGTGTGTATATGAAGAGTTATCCCCATGTATTGTACTTTATAGAGAGGATTGCAGCCTTTTGCGGGCAGTGCCTCAGAGGGTATTTAAAGTAATGGATGAGCCTATTCTGCCACGGTCGGTGGGGAAAACAGAGAAATGCAGTCATCGGGTAACAACTGCAACAATTTGTCAGATGGTTTGAAACACAAGGAGAGGAAAATAAGACAACACAGTCTAAAGAGAGGAAAAAACATATTGCTATATCCCTGTCCTTTTACCAGACAGATGATGACTCATTAGGGATGTCCCCCACAGAGGCTAGGAGTTGAAACGAGCACAATAAGGGAAATATATACTACCAGTCAAAAGTTTGGACACACCTTCAAATTCAAAGTTTTTTATTTTGTTCTACTTTGTAGATTAATACTGAAGACATCAAAACTATGAAAGAACACATATGGAATGATCTAGTAAACAAAAAAGTGTTAAACAATCCAGAATATGATTTATATTTTAGATTCTTCAAAGTAGCCCCCTTTTGCCTTGATGACAGCTTTGCACACTCTTGGCTTCTCTCAGTCAGCTTCATGAGGTCGTCACCTGGAATGGTTTTCAATTAACACGTGTGCCTTGTCAAGAGTCCATTTGTGGAATGACTTGCCTTCTTCATGTGTTTGAGACCATTAGTTGTGTTGTGCAGAGGTAGGGTTAGTGCACAGGGGAAAGCCCTATTTGACTACGGTTGTAATCCATATTATGGCAAGAATAGGGATGGGTACCGAGCCCCTGTATTAAATGGGCCCCGGGGCTGAATTATTACAGACCGTAGTACCGTTAAGCTCCGATGTTATCGGTCTTTTTATCGGTACTGGAGAAATTTAAAAAATATGTCATATGTATTATTATAAACATTATATTACAGTTTTAGTTTCGCCAACTCCGTTTCTAATATACAAAATACAACTACAAAATGCATCTGTGATGTATTTTCGATCTTTCCAATCCAGACAAGAGATCTCTCTCCCCTGTCTCTGTGCGAGGGGGCGGGGCAGTTTACACACACACGGCTGCTACATGCATGCAACACACACACGGCAGAGATGGCGGAGAGAAAGCGCTCCAAGGTGTGGTTAAACTTTACCCGTCTCGATGTGGACAATGCTCGTTGCCAAAAATATAATAAGAGTTTAGCATGTCAGGGACGAGCAATTTGTCTAAACATCTAGCAAAAGTGCACCACATTCAGACGGAGAAATGCACCTTTTTCGACTGTCTTTCTAGTAGCTCTGTAGCCCCATCCACGAGTAACTTTTCCACGTCAGGTATGTTATGTATACCTCAATCTTCCTCCAGATATCTGAGAGATCTGATCTCAGCACAGTTATACGTTGGTAGCCACGAATGAAGGAATCATTTGGTCTTTGAAATTAAGATGTGATTCACATACAAGCACACGCACACACACACACACACACACACACACACACACACACACACACACACACACACACACACACACACACACTCACACTCACACTCACACTCACACTCACACTCACACACACACAGTGTCCCCTCTTTCACACCTTGCAGTCAAAGTGCCTGTTAGAGCAGGAAACCTGTGCTCGAGCACTAGCTTGGGAATCGATTTCCTCCCATTAGTTTCGATTTAATCATGTCAAAGAGCTGCAGGTGGTTTAGCTTTTTCTGACTTCTTCTCCAGGCAAACATTTTATTTTCTGTACAGAGGTTTGCTGGCCACTTAGGAAAGCACAAGGCCCTTATTCAATGGTGTGTGAGCCTGTCTGTAGACAGAACCTGATTCCTTGCTCTTTCTGCTCCCAATAAGAGACTTCTAGCTGCTTGTTTGATCTCCAGCCCCCCTGTTTCTGCCCTGCCTGCCTCAAATTGTGGATTCAAATGTCAAACGGATGTTATTTTTCTTGCTGACAATCACTAGATGTTTCTCGTCTCCACAGAGCCTTTCAGATCAATGCCCTTCTGTGGTTTCTTTCAGCCTGGACCAGCACTTAGAAATGCTACTGTCAACCTCTCACAAAGTCTCCTCGACACATAAAAAAACTGCTCAGTTATTCTTTGTTCTAAGCAAGCCTTTGATGAATACAGTATGTACTTTTCCAATAACAGTATGCACCAGAAATCCTTATTTTCATTTGATTTGAATATACATTATATTAGTCTATCTAGACTCTGATCTGACAGCATTGCCAGCATACCTCAAAATAGGTGAAGACGTAATATCCAACATCATTCTAGACCTGTAACAGGATTATTTACACTTCATCTCATTTTACTCATATCCAAATGCATCATTATTGTTTCCGACACTTCGACAGGTGAGAAGCAAGTGACTCTTATTTGACCTTTTGTGTTTAAGCTTGAGGCATGGAAGTCTTGCTTCATGATTTGTGTGTCGCTACAGTCAAAATCCAATTAACATAAGCTGACAATTTGCTCCTGGAGACTGGTTTTGAGCAGGTTGGACAGAGAAGTATAGACAGTGGTTGCAGAAATAGAGGTTGCTGAGTGACAACAGGGCATAGTAATAAGTAGATGTTTTGGTTGTTGAGCTGACTCAAAGTTTTGCTTAGTAGTCTTGACATGAGTGAAAAAGTTTTCCAAGTTAAAAGGCTTATTTAATTCAGTTGACTTAACTGTGCTCTCAGTATGTTAGAGAAATGGCATTTCAGTCTGTGGATGACAGACGTTCCGTCACAGACAGTTCCTCTCCTGAAGTTGAGAGCTGAGGCAAGAGTGACACTTTGGGTCGATGGTGAATCCAAAGATGGACTCCACCAGGTGGTATCATTTAATCTGACTGTTTTGATGTTTGTTTTGGGACTTCTCCTCAGCACTGATGTAACTCCAACAACAACCCTTTCCAAGATGTTTTGTTCTCTGAACAGACACAGGAAAATCTGAAAATCTGAAAGAAAGCTGGGAGCAAGAGACCTTAAGGGGCAGAAAGAGTGAGGGAGTGGTCAGAGGAAAAGCTTTCTGTTGTCTCTTCGTCAGTCTTTAGTAGTTTAGTTATGCAGATTATTGGATAGGCTTTTTTCCATTACCAATGTAAAATGTAGCTACATGTCTATAAGTAACAGGAAAGTAGAAGTTGACAGTGCACACTTTTAGCCTCCCTCTTCTGCGCTCTCTCGCTCTAATGCTCTACCAAACATGCAGCCAGCTCATGCTTAAGCTAACAGAGTAAAGGACTGCCAGGTGATCCTAGCAGATTGGAAGAGGCACTGGGTGTCTGTGATGGCCCAGTACGTCTCCTGATGAGTTGGCCCACTGCATACTGTAGCTCGTATTTCCTTCAGTCTCACCGCAAAGGCTCTGGCTTCTCACAGTGGGCAGCAAGGGGCTTTCACTGGGGAAAGTACACTGCCTTCAAATCTTCTTTCTGCCAGCCTAAGCTTTTACTGGGCATTTGGTATTGTGTGTGAGACTTTCGATCCATCCAACTATGGAATGTCTTTGTTTCATCAATTTCTTAAGCAGAAGCAATTTTAAAATCGTAAATGCTTCACAGCAATTACACATTTTGACCCCATATTGCATTTTTTGATTATGCAATATGTATCACCAATACTTTCTGTATTTTCACATTACAGTTGACTGCGGGCAATAATCAAACCTACCAATCCCCTAAAAGGACATTCTGAGCACCTCAGCTCAGTTGTAGTGTTTTAACCTACTGATCATATTCTTTGTGGATAAACTTAAAAGATTGGAAACTACATAACCAACTGAATTAAATGTGTCATTTAGTTATTCTAACTTTAGATTTTTTTTTCACAATTGTTAATATATAACTAGAAGTGAGTGTTATCTGTTAAACAGTAAGCTTAGGTCCACTCGATCACTGTCACTAGATTTTGGCTTGAGTTGTGGAGGTCGATTCAAACAGAAGGCACTTAGGCCACGTTTACACGGAGACGAAACGTTTGTATCCGCTACAGTTCTCTATCGTATGGACGGTTCGTCCACACGAGGCCGGAACGGAACCGCTGAAACGGAGCCCTCAAAAGATAACGGCTCCCAAGGTGGGTAGATCTGCGGACAAAACGCTCTGGGGGGGCAAACGGCTCTGTGTGTACGTTCTATACGATAATTTCCTGATAACAATGACGCCATAGCCCCGCCTCTCCCCACCTCTGCTGCTCACCCCCGCGTCACCCGCGTCATTGCTGATGTGTTTTGCCAACAACAACAACAACAATGGCGGAT